GTGGACTTAACATATTCAGTAAACTGTACTGTAAATTCATGTGCTATCATCCATGATTTGTTGTTTCCTTTATGATATGTTTTGTGGACTTAACATATTCAGTAAACTGTACTGTAAATTCATGTGCTATCATCCATGATTTGTTGTTCCCTTTGTAGAGCACAGGCAGAGTCGACTTAGCATCATTCTTAAGGGCCCTAGGGTTTTCAGAATGGTAAATGAGCACTGCTGGCAACTTAAAGTCATCAGCTGAACCAATCCTTAACAAGAGATCAGCGTGCCCTTTGAAGTCAGGCATTGACTTCTCCCCTCTAGCTATGAACGTCCTGGATGTATTTTCTTCCAATATAAAGCTATTGAGTTTACACCGAAATCTGTTTAGTGTAGCCACCTTCAACAATGATCTTAGCTATATCTTCTGGGATAACTTTCTGTAGCTTCTATCTCAGCATTTGCTGCTTCACCTTGCACTTAAGTTTTTTTTCTTAAACCTCACGAATCAACCTCTGCTAGCTTAAAACTTTTCTTCTGCAGCTTCTTCACTTCTTTCAGCCTTCGTAGAACTGAAGAGAGTTGGGGGGCCTTGCTCTGTATTAGGAATTGGCTTAAGGGAATATTGCGGCTGGTTTGATCTTCTATCCAGATCACTAAAACATTCTCCATATCAGCATAAGTCAATTTTTTTGTTGTTTTATTATTTTGCTTTGAACCCTGAGAAACTAAGCCAATAAGGTTGTTTTGCTTTGCTTTCTTATCATTCGTGTGTTTACTGGAATAGCATTTTTAATTTTTTTCTAGGACTTTTCCTTTGCATTCACAATTTAGCTAACTGGACAAGAGGCCTAGCTTTTGGCCTATTCAGGCTTTTGACATACTTTCCTCACTAACCGTAATCATTTCTAGCTTTTGATTTAAAGAGAGAGATATGCAACTCTTCCTTTCACTTCAACACTTATAGAGGCCATTTTAGGATTACTAATTGGCCTAATTTCGATACTGTTGTGTCTCAGGCAATAGGGAAGCCTGAGGAGAGGGACAGAGACAGGAATGGCTGCTTGGTGGAACAGTCAGAACACAC